CTGGAGAGGATGTGAAAAAGAAAACATGCAGAAGTTCTTTTATGTGTCGTTACTTAAAAGAGCAGCCACTTGTATATATTAACATACTGGTTGAAATATCATCATAAGTTACCTTGAGTTGTATTTGTTGGCCAGTTGTCAAGTTGGCCTTGTGCCATGTCAGCTTACTGGAATTGAACAAAACAGACATTCCAATAAATTTTTTTTCCCAAAGTTTCCTTTTTTCACTCCCTGTATTATCTACTTCAAAAGCAAACGCATTTCCATCTCCACCACTCTGTTGGAAGAGATTAAACAGTGTGTCTGGGCAAGCTACAGTATTTTGTATGGTCCTTTTTCTCCTAACAAAACTATTCACCTTAATTAAAGTTCTGGGAATTTTGTGCCACTAGGTCACCAACTTTATAATTGGGTCTCAGTTAGTACTGAGCTTAATGGGGAGACGGCTAAACAAAGAAGAATCAGTTTACTGGAAAAACGTGACTCTATAATATAACTCATCCATCGTGTCTGCAGAGGTATTTACTTAAAAATAGAAAAGATTACTGGATTAAAACCCCCTTCTTCAGCCTAGATGGGTGTAGATTAAAATGCCAGATTTCCTTAGAAGCAAAACACAATCAGAAACACTCACTGGTTAAACTTTGTTTGCAGTTTTTATTTTTAAGCCACCTTTCTATGAATGTGACTGGCATACTGTTTTCATTTGGAGCATTAAAATCCAGCAGCAAACACTGCCCCTTGTTTCACCACTTCAGTAAATTTGTCAGCCTACAAAATAGGACAAGATATTTAGTACAATTCTTAACAACTTCATGTCTCCACCACTGACTGAAGTTGACCCAACCTACACGGCACAATATGTTGACAAAAAGTTTTGCCACACCTTCTGCATACAAACCACAAATGAGCATAGCATACACTCCCTCCAAATGAGGGAGGAAGTGGCTGTAATATTAATACAAACATGTTTTTTTTCATTTCAGTGGCCCTAGAAACTAACTGAGAAGGTGCTTAATAAAACTATGAACTGCCCCTTGTGAACCATACTAGGCCGTTGGTTAGTCTGCAGCCATTCATCTGGGGCCTCAAAGCTACTAATGCTACAAAGCCTGACCTAGCAAGGTGTCTGTTTATGAAGTAAGCCGAAGCCAAATGTTCACCCCTAATATTTTATTAGGGTGCTAGTTTCTCTGATTTTTATCAGGACACAACCAAAAAACCCCTATGCTCTATCTTCATCTCTCAAGCCTGAGAGGTTCATCTGCAGCACTCTATCACTTGAAATATTCATCCCAATGAATAGCTAAAGCCCTGAGAAGGAGGCACATTCAACACTGACACTGTAAGTCTTGTCTTTGGGACTTTTTGGCATCTGAACACATGTGAAAAAAATGCCGGTCAGCCAGAGAAGATTGGGTGCATTAAGAGCAAGCAGGGTTACAAGGTTGAGAAGAGTACTTGTCTAAATATATAAGAAAATAAAGGACACACTTTTGTAAACATAGCTTTGTAAAGAAGCATGATTCAGAGTGGAAGCCAACGGGAATGCATTTAGTAATGTATTCCCTTCTTGGTGGAGGCGCTGAAGGAGCTTAGTGTAGTCCCTCAATTAGTGTGAGAACAACCTGTGGAGATCAACCTAGAGGATATAAAGGGGACAGCACTCATAGATGGTCTGACTTAGCTGTCATTGTGTCACTGGCACACATTCTATTATTGGTCAAAACAAGGGAAGTCAC